GCTTGCTCCCTTGTTTATTACGTACATCACCTCAGTGCAGGGTATTTACATTTATTCAAGTGTTGTGCAAATCATGGCTTCTAAAAAACAAAAGTGATTTCAATTTTAATAAACCAAGAAATCATCAGAAGGAGTGAAAGTTGACATGGACTTCCTTGTCAAATGGGGAGAAGTTCAAGAGTTTACGAACACTCACTATCCAAACACAGCTCAGGCCAACAGGATCAATGATCTTTACAATGACACCCTTGCCCATCATTTCTGACAGGTGTTGAAGAAGAGAGAGAAACAGACCACCTTGGACATGTTTTTCAAGAAGCCAGCTGCAAAAAATCAAAGGATGGAACAAGAGGAGTTGACCCTACAAGCTCCGGTAGCCTCTCCTGAATCTGACTCCGATTAAAAAAACAATAAAAAGAGACCTGCTGCAATGTGTAAAAAGTCTGTATCTGTATGAATGTGTGAAGAAAGTGTTCCTCCACCTCCTCACAAAATCTGACTATCTGGCATAATTGGTGACTGCTCCATTTTCATTTTTTTTTATGGTACAGTAAGATTATTTTATGCTGCAGAACAAATTGTGTGTTTTAACATATATTTCTATGGGAAAATGCATTTCATATAACGAACTTTTCACTTAACGGACATGCACCTGGAACGGATTAAGTATGTTATACGAGGCACCACTGTATAATTTATTAAATAATGATGGCTACTTTATTATCATAAATATTTATATTACTTCTGTTATATTGTTATGTTATAGTATAATTTCTACTAATCAAAATATATTTCTTCCATTTTAAAATTTATCATTTATTAAGACATTTAAAATTAAAGTGCACAATAAAAACATTTTTATTAATCTATAATAGCACAAATTTATAAATGTATAGAATGACCTATAACTTATTTCAATTGAAAAACTAAAAACAATGAACACAATGTTTATACATTAGTTCACACTGAGTGAATAGCGAAAGCGAATGAGAAAAGTGAAAAGCAGTTTTTATTCACTTAGCAAAATTGATCCACACAATCAAAAGCAAAAAGTTATTGCAAATTTTAAGCAGCCAATCGTTTGCAAGCAAGAGAAAACAGTATCTTGAAAAACAAAATGACTGCTTCTGATATTCTGTTGTTAACCATGTTTGTTTATTTATTGAGAAAAAAGACATCAAAAAGAAAACGATGCTAGGTGAGAGGAATATTAAAAAGAGTGAATTACAACATTTACTCTATTGCCTGAGAAAGTTTCTGTAGCCATCTTGAAAACAACAAGAACCATGTAACAACTAGTGGAATACGATTGGTGGCAAAATTTTTTCACTAGCAAAAAAGCTCAACAGTTCCAAACTTAAGTGATTCATGAAATGGTAAAATTCACTGGAAACAACATCATGCCTGATGTGTTATTTTCTCTGTTTTTTGCTTTCACTAATGAATCAGGCTCAGTGTGAACTAAGCTTATGCCCCATGATATTCTACATGTATACTGTAATATTTTTTATAACAAAATAAACTCTCTTTGAAGATAATTTAAAAGATGGTTTCAATTAAAGTTTGCATTCTAACATGTATAATATTACCAAAGCTTGTAATTGAAGTAATATCACAACAAGATAAATAACTAGATACAATAAAGTTCATTCATGTGTAGGTAATAATAATTATATTGTTATTTAATCTTCCACAGTTATCAAACTTTCAAATTTATTTTGTTATTGAAATTAAGTTGCAAATTTCAGAGAACATTAAAATGTGAAAAAATATACATCTTAGAATCAAGGAAATATGACATTTGGATAGAACTGCCACATTCAATAAAACAAACCATACTTATCATATGATTGCAATATCAATCAATTCAAATATTAAGTTTATATCAAAATATTAAACTTAAAGAAAACATTGCTATATCTAATGTTATATAAAATAGATCCTTTCTTTTCCTATAAAATAAAAACTGTATTTGAGTAACCAGATTACTTTATTAATAATTCAAATTACTTTTTACAGTGTTCAGGAAAAAGTGGTGTCTGTCCAGATACTAAACTTGGAGGTACAGATGATAGTAAATTGATATATTCACAATATACAAATGGTATTCTCAGTGCCACTTATAAGCGACCTCTCCAAACAGGTAGGCAAAATTTAAATAAAAGTAACAACACACAATATTTTAATTTTATTTAAATAATAAATTGCATGAATTTGTTTTGTTCAGAATTTGTTAAATATAATTTTAAATAAAATGTTACTGTACCTCATACTTTGAATTTAATTCATTCCAGGAGGCTGTTGAAACTCTGAATTGTTTGAAGTCTGAAACAATTTTCCCCATTAGAAATAATGGAAACTAGATTAATCCATTCCCAGATCCTAAACAATCCCTATTACGTACATAGCAAATACATAATTTAAGATAAAAATAACACATTTAAATGTCCTAAATAGTAAATAAAATACGTAAATACTATATTATAAGATTAAAATTGCATTTACTGGTCCCACACAGACTTCGGCATTTAAACATGGCCACCAGATCTGCCACGCAAGTACATTTTCATGCTTTGCAATAATTTTTTTTTATTTCATCTTAATCGTTGATACTACTCTTAGGCTTCATTGCTTCCACACACTTCTTGGATGCCTGACTTAAAAATCAGGATTGTATATATAACCAAACACACTAAAAATAAAGTGGAAAGAGCACTGAAAACACATTTACACAGCAAATGCAGTTTTTCACTGTGCATACAGTTTGAATATAGAAGCATTGCCTGAACTCTGATCAAATATAACATTCAAACTCTGGAATGTTTGAAATTATAATCATTCAAAGTACAAGGTACCACTATTAAAAAGCTGAGAATTAATAACGTTATACGATTAATAATTATAAAAAATAAAATGATTTATAAACAATTACAGATTTAAAAAACATTTTTTTACATAATTTTAAATGAAAACTTTATAAATTAAAGCAAAATAAAACAATAAATGTTATTTCTAAAATACTTCAATGAATTGATGATATTGATTTTTCTAACTATAATAGGTGATGCCCAAGATCAATCAGTTCCATCTTCTGATCCAGTAACTGTTATAGCAGCAATTGGACCCTTAAATAGTTTATTAGAAGCTGCTTATCATCCTGTATATTATACTAAACGTAAATTATTTTATTTATTTTTTAATATAATCTATTATTATAATTAAATATAATTGAAATTTGTATGATAATTTGAAAAACTAATTTAGTTACTGAAATCAATATGCTTTTAAAAATCTTAAGATAACCACAAAAATAAAATACTGTTAAAGTTTTTAGTGTACAGCTTTATAACAGTAAGAAAATTCATTTTGAATCTTTTGAGTCTTTGAAATAATGAAAACCTAGAATATTTTTGCATGAAGTTTCAGTAAGACCTATAAATATTTAAATTTTATTTAGAGATTAAAAGTATGTAAGTGGATGTATGAAAAATTTATTTTTGTACCATTTTCAAAACTATGGTAATTTTATTAGCAGAAGGTTCTATGTGATATCTGTTAATCATGTGTCCAGTTTTTGACCTCCTTTTCTCCTCATTGTTTATAATGATGTACTTTTGGCAAACCTCCTGCCTTTAATTACCTGTACAATAGTTCATGGATCGTGATATCAAAGAACTGACTTTAAAAAGTTCTGTGAATATTTTCTAGCCAATAGTTTATTTACATGACTAGTAAGTAGGCTCATCAAAAAAAATTCATATGTCACCAATCCACTAAACAGAGTATGCAGACAATGTCTCAACTCCCTCATCCATCATTTACAATGATGTACATTTCATGAATCGCCCTCTTTCTTAAACTGTACACATAATTAATGATGACCCCATAAAATGAATGAAATTAGACATGCTTGTAAATAATAGTTTACCTATGTCAGATATTAATATGTATAGAAAAATTTAATACATATTTAACCTTTTCCATTTATTCTCTTTGTTTTTTTATTTTTTACTATAAAAGAAATACATCATATATCAGATATGAAACAAAATAATCATTGTTCTGCTAATTGGATAAACTGTTATGAAGCAACAGTTTATCCAATGCTGTTAATATATTATTATATTTAATATTATACAATAATTATATATATTTATGATAGGATATAGACTTTAGACCTATAACATAATTTAAAAACTCCTAAAGTCTGTAAAAATATAAAATTAAGGATTGTTAGAATGAATAAGACTTTTTAGATTGTTAAGAATTGAATAAGATTGTTAGAATGAATAAGAGAATGAATATATTATTATATAATATATATAAGACAAGAAGAGAAGCTTCTTGTCTTATATATATTATATATAGTAAATGTAAAATTTTACAAAAAATTAACATACTGTTTGAGTTAGTAATTTGTTTTTTTTTTCACATCTTATAATACAAATTGCTAGAAGAACTATAATTTAACATTGAAATTTAGATAGTCAGAGGGTAAAATGACATATCACTTTTAATTGAGTTTATTGTAGTTATAACTTGTCACTAAATACTTGTATGTTTATCATATTAACATCCTAGACAAATTTGCTTCATTTTCACATACATAAGCAAAAGATAACATTATAACATTCTAAAAAAAATGGACTATAAGTTTTTTTAGTTTCCCAAAGTTGACTTTTTTTATGCCCTTTTACCCTCTTCTGTTTACTTATTGAAATTCAAAGAAACAACAATAGATCTATAGGAGATTTAATTTTAAAAGTGGTTTTCATTAAGTACGATTTTATATTATTGTTTTTATATTCTGACAGATATAATTTTTATTATTATTCTCTTAATTCATACCTTTTATTAAAGGTATAGACAATAGCAGATCTAGAAATCTTTAGAGAAGTGCAGAAAGGAAACAATGTGCCTTATAATTTTTTTTATTTCTGATGTATTTGGATTTACTCAGAAAAAACCCTAAGAAGGATAATGCAATTACATCCTGCACACCCTCTAAATCTACTCCTGAATATAGGATATGTTATTTTCAGATTAATTAATTAATTTCAAGTCATACTATATTTACAAATGTTTTACTTTTTAATTAAAATGTTAAACATCCATAAATGATAATATTTAATGATCATACTTATCATAATTATAAGTTGTCTGAATTTTATTGGATTGTTTGGAAAGTAATTTCGTTTTTTTTCTATGGAAAAAAAACACAATATTTTTATAATAAATAAATATTTTATTGAATTATATATTGACCATTTTGGTCAAATACCTGTTGTCATCGTTTCTGGTAGTAGCATGATTTCACATTCATAAAAGTTTTGATTGTTGATTACAAAAACTGATTCAAGTGATTTTTGACATTGTCATTTCAAGTAAATGTCTTACAGTTAAAAAAAATTTGTATAGACTGGAACAAGTAATAATCTGAATGTGCTCTGTCTGGCAAATATGGTTGGTGTGATAGCACATCCCATCTAAGTTATAACAGTTTCTGACGAGTTACCAAACTTGTGTGAAATTTGACATTTTCGTGGTAAAACACTACACCTGTTTTGTTGATCAATTCTGACCACCTTTTCTGTTTGATGATATTACTCAATTTGTTTACTCGATGGCAGTACACTTTCGAATCAATTGTTAAATTATCTGGTAAAAGCTCCAAAAAAAATTTTCTTAAAATCCCACCAAAGAGAGCATCTCTCTTTAAGAATATGTGGAACTCATATATCAAGCTTTGAAACTAAACCAATTTGTTTCAAGTAATCATAAACAGTTGAATTTGACAAATTTAATCTCTTAGTGATTTCACGTATTATTATTCGGCAGTTTGCTTCAATCAGTGCCTTTATTTTGTTTTCATTGCTTCAACTGGCCATTCAGAACGTGGTGCATCTTCAATATTGAAATTGCCAGAACAAAATTTTGTAAACCGGTTTTGGCACTGTCGTTCTGTCAATACATCTTCTCCATACATGTCACAATTTTTTTCTTGCTTGAACATCATTCTTACCTTTTCAGTAATAAAAGAGCAAAATATGCCGAAAATGTTGCTTTCGATCTTCCATATTTGATGGGACACAAAAAATAAACAATTACACAAAATCAAACAAAATTTTTTACAAATAAGCCTTAAAATGCTAGCTGTCAAAATATATAATGATAATACAGTTTAGAATGAAAATGGTGGGAAAAATATGACTAATTTGTCTAGTGGTAAAAAAACAAAATTATTTTCCAAACAACCCAATAAATTAGGCAATACTTATTTCTCAGTAGCAATCTATCATATTTTCATTCCTTTAAATTCTGTATTTTCTTTTTTCTTGTAACATTTTCATTAGATTGTTTTTTCTAAGATACTTTATTATATGCAGAAATTTTTATTTCTTCTAAGATCTAAACTTTGCTATATACTATTATGAGAATGATTTATATTCCTTTAAAATATAATTTTAAAAGAACTGTTGTTTCTTTACTTGATATGAGTATCAGTATCAATATTTATAGTGTAATATGACATTGCAATATTATTCTAAAATAGTATTGTATTCTAACAGTTTCTAATTGGATTGTTAAATTATAACGATATTCTAATCTATTATCAAAATCTATTCAAAAGAAATGAATGAATGAAATAACCTCCCAAGACTACATAACAGACCACTTGTCTCCGAGTTAGCATAATTTTCTGTTTAATTAATAGTCCTAACATAATATTTTTAAGAAAAGTTCTGAATCCTTTGCTGATGTATTTTAATATTTGCAAAAATGTTTCTCTTGCTATTATTTAAAAAAAATAAAAAACCTTACTCATACTCATGTTTAGAGATTAATCAGGTATTTTTGTCATGCAGTGTTTGAATACTTGCATGATCTCAAGAATTCAAAAGGATTATTGATGTGTAGAAATTATTTTTAAAATAAATAAGACAATAAACTATAAATCTCTCTTTTAATTGATATCAAATTATATTAACAAGAAATTAACAAAAGAACATTAGAAAATTTATTAGTACTTTAGGCAAAGTTGTCTGTTATATAGAGGAACAAATCTATTGAATAGAACAAAATTCAAATAAAACAAACAGCTTTTTGAAAATTCAAACATGTGTAAAAGGTAATTAAACTATTATTAATATAATAAATATTCCTTGATGCTTCTTAATTGGAGAATGGGTTGATTGCGTAGTCTTTTCATTTTTATTAGGACATTTTTGCTAAAAATAAGTCTCCAAGTATTTCAAGATGAATAAATAATTTGTTTCGTCCATGAAGTTTTTAAATTTTCATGTATTGTTAAATATGCAGCTTAATAATTATCTTAATGTAGGTTATATTACATTTATATTTTGGTTATTACAATGTAGTACAAAATTGAGGGTTGTTTCCAGGTGATATATTCTTAACACTCAAAAAACCTTAACAGTCCAGTACTAAATATTTAGTAGAATACAAACGTTTTCAACTATACTTTTGGTCTTCTTCAAGTTTAAAAAAACCAGTGAGATTCAAACAAGTGAGTTCAAAGAACAAAAATTACAAAATTATTTTCAAAAAATTTGGAACAGCACAAGCAGGTTTTTTAAAACCATGGAACATTCTAAACTTGCATGTAAACAGTTACACATGCATGTTACCATGGTGACAGAATGGTATATGTAGTGCAAACATTGATATAACTACATACGTATAAACACATACATATATCAACTAACGGAGGGTGGGGATGTGGTTTCTAACTGCTGATGCGGGGTTGCCAGTACCTCCATGCATGAGACATATTGATGGCATCCTTATAGTTAATACAATTGGTATATAACCTGGCTTTGTATATTTCCATTGTTTCCAGGTTTCGAAGGTGTTCCACACGATGAGACATCCTGATCAGTTTGGCCTCCTGTAGGTCAGCTCTTATGCCAGAGTCAGTGGCATAAGTGGATAGGGTGGTGGTATGCTTTTTATTATCGATATCGTATTTGTGTTCCTGCACTCTTTTGTTAAGGGAGCATTTTGTGGACCCAATATATACCAACTTCCTTTGGAACCTGTTGTCATATAGAAGAACCATGTATACACCTGACACGTGTTTTTTATTTATGGTATACATGGTTCCTCTATGGGACAACAGGTTCCAAAGGGAGTTGGTATATATTGGGTCCACAAAATGCTCCCTTAACAAAAGAGTGCAGGAACACAAATACAATATCGATAATAAAAAGCACACCACCGCCCTATCCACTTATGCCACTGATTCCTTCTGTATTCTATTAAATATTTAGTACAGTAGAACCTCGAAAACTCGTCCCTCGATAACTTAGCACTCCGGATAACTGGTCCACACCTTGGCAGGGCGAAAAAATCCTTAGTTAATTAATTTTCATTATAGACAGCTTTATAAAAGTATAAAAGCTCTCATAAAGTATTTTTCTGAGGTCTGTCTTATCAGGTAAATTACTGTACACAGTGTATTCATTAATTTTCATTTTCATGTAGTGGCTCTATGCCTTCATAAAGGACGTACTTTTCCTTTGTTTAAGGGTATTTGGGCAGTTTATTCTCTGTTATATTCTGTACAAGTAAATACTGTACAAGTACAGTACAGTATTTTCTGAGGAAATACTCGTACTTATTTTTTTTAACCCCATTCCCGATAACTCGGCATTTTCACAAACTCGGCCACCCTTCGGTCCACATTAGGTCAAGTTTTCGAGGTTCTACTGTACTGGACTGTTAAGGTTTTTTGAGTGTTAATTTATATGCGTTACAGTATTCGTATATGAACGTTTTTAATTTAAGATATATTCTTAATTTTTATTCCAACTTCCATTCATTCCTAACATTACAGAAAAGTGCCTGATTGTCAAGAGCATTGAATTATTTTTCATCTTTAAACATTCAAATAAATAAAACACCATTTTTTAAAATCAAACAATACTATAGCCTAACTTTAAATATTTTTGGAATATTACAAATTCTATCATCAAGAGATTTTCTTTTACTTATGTTAATAATGGCCTTAACATATATAGTCTTCTTTCTTAGTCCAAAAACAGAAACAATCTTCTAATCCCTAGGATTAGGAGATAGTTTGTTATATCTCTTAATTCCTTTCAGCTTCCCTCCTAATTCAGATAAATCCTAATCTCTGAGATTACGAAATATATATGAATTATATCTACTAATCCATTGGATTAGAATATATTTTTTCACTTTTTGGTCTCAAAAAAACAACCAGAGAAGTGCACATAGTTTTACATATAATTTCCACGTCATAAAGCATAAGTTATGATAAACTGAATCCTATTGTTCTAAACTAAATAACATCAAATATTGTGATGTTTAACAACTATCAAATATCAACTATTTTTAGTTGTTTATTATTTATAATATTGGGCAACAATAATCAAAGATCTAACTATAAAAATGATAATGTTTATTAGTAAATTTAATATTCTCAAATTAATTAATGCTTAAGATTCAATAGGTTAAAGTAATAAACATATTTTTATGTAATACTTTTCTTCATTATTTATTATATGTCATAGAATTCCTTTGCTGGAAATGTTTAAACAGATAAAATGAAACTTGGAATTATAATTCAAACAAAAATGATCAAATTTTTCAGGGCTCCATTAATTAATTAATGTAATTAATAATGTTACAGAAATTGCAGATTTGAATCTATTCCAAGTCAGTGTTTTCTCTATATTTTTTTAACTTCTTAAGTGAAAATTCTAAATTAATTATTAAAATTTCTGAGAGATGGCAGCTCTATTTACTTCTAGATTAAATTCATTTATGATTAATTAAATTAACAACAAAAAGTTAATCTAGAAAAAATCTTGCAGTCTTATTGTTTATTTCGCAAACAAAATGGTTTTTTGAAAAGTAATGGGAATTATTTTTAATAATTACTTACGTAAAGTTTAATCCTCACATTCAGTTAGTTTAATATCTAAAAAAATGGCTGTGATATACTAATAGAGTTTATAAAAATAAAATTATTATTAAATTTAAGAAATAATTAAATATAAACAATTCAGAGCGAATAAACAGAATTCATTAAACAAAAAAGGAACCCCCAGTGAAAACAAATTTCATTTTTCATCTTCTTTTAATTAATGCTTATTTTTCACATTTTAGTCATTTATATTTGTTATTCTCCACAAAATAAGTAAATAATTGTCTACAACTTCCATACATTTTATTTTTGTTATCACTATAATACAATTTCATTATCTTCTCATCTCATTCATCATATCTTTTATTTTATCTGGCAATTATTGCTGATTCTGTAACTTGAATATTTCTGTAATTCAGTTTTATATCTATTTTTTTATTTTGGAGTTTATTTCAGTGAGTTGCATGATCAATATAATTTTATATCTAAGAATTGGAGTTGCCCCATACAATATGACTGTATTATTCTCTTAGTTTTTATATAAAATAACTGAAAAAATGTCTAAATTGTGAACTTTTATTCATTTTTACAGAAACAATAAGGATTAATTTTGGTCGTAACCCTCCAATGTCTAACTGCGGAGTACTTACTAATGTTGTAAATGAGGAAAAACCAAAACCAAAAAGTTGGTCAATACCAAGAATATCTGATGCTACTACTTTCACAGCACAGATTGGTCCAGCAGGAGGAGAACATGGTTATAAAGCTATTACAGGTAATAATAATGAAATATACAGTAATATTGGTTTAATTCATCTTAATAGAACATTATATATTCCAGGACATCAACCTTGGGGTATCACTTGGTGGATAAATGGAATATTAATACCAGAATTAGTGGTAGTGAGAGGACAAAATTATACCTTTATTGTAGAAGGAGGAAATGATCCAACAAAATCTGCTAGTTATCATCCACTCTACATCACTAATAATAATGAGGGTGGTGGAAGCCAGTTTCTAGAAACACTTGGTTCAGATGTAAATATCACAAACTTTACAAATTGAAAATTGTTTTTAGTTGGAAATTTATATTTAACTGAATATTTACAGAAACATAAGATATATGCTGGTACTACTACTGATGCAAAAGGAAATATTATTCCCATTGGAGGTAATATAATTTTTTATTTATATTTTATTATTTAAAAATAATAATATAATTTTCAATATTCTTTTTGAAAGGAAGTGTGGGTTACTGATTTTAAATTTCTATTGTGAATTTGTAATTACAGAACAATGACTGCTCCCATATGTACAGGGTTGATTATATGATACAGTGGGGTTGATTATATGAGGGTTTTATTTTTATTTTAGGAATTTTTTGCAGATTATATACTGCTGCCAAGTAATACACATGAAAGTTCAGTATATGAACATTTATTGAAGAAATATACATTTTTATTTTCTCCAAATTTAATAATTTAGCATTACTTGATTTATTTGAAATGGCTAAACAACAAAATATATTAATAGATTATTAAATTGATGTCATTAATATCAATGATTCAAGTTTTAATCTATTATAAAATTATCTTTTAAACATTTTGTCAATTCTAATTTAATTTATTGTTATAAAATTTAATAAATAGTTGTAGAATTATTTAATATAAAAATTATAAAATTTTTTGCAAAAAGTATTCTTAAATGTAGAATAAATTACAGTTGGTCGTTATTGTGAGTGGAAGCATAAAACAATTGATATGGCTGATCAATCGCCAACATTTGAGAGTTATAAAGAAACTTTAGAATTAAAATGTGAAGATGGGGAAGCAGGAAAATTTACATGGACACCAGATGAAGATACACCAGATATTGTTTATTATCAGGTATAACTGTATAAGTTATTAATTTGTAAAAATATAATTTATTATTGAAATTTTTTAATATAGGAAAAATTAAAAGAAAAATAAGATTTAAGTTATTGAAAATAGTTTGACTTCAGATTATTGATTTTATTGCATATTTAACTGTTTGCTTTATTGGAGAACTTAATATCATTAATAACACATGACAAATGATGTACCTAGAACTTTTGAGCCCTTCAAATAATCTTTAGAGATATATGCTTAAAATAATTTGTCAAACTTTATTTCTTTATTATGTTAAATTTGACAGTTAAAGTCCAAATTAGTCAGGTTCATAGATCAAATAGTAGAATGCTTGCTTAGCATGCAAGAGATACCAAGAATGTTACTTAGTTCTTTGTGTTTGTCGGGTTCATCCCTCACCATCCAACTACCACACTATAGGCTTGACCTAATACATGATAGATCCAGAAAAAAGATCTCCTCAGTAACCATGGAGAAGAGTCAAAAATCAAAAAGAAAGGTCCAAATTGTTTTGTTATTATGTATGTTCATTTTAATAATATGCATTAATCACAAGAAAGCCTGCAATTAACATTTAATAACATCTATTAGTATTATAATTTAAAATGCTTTTTAATCTGTTTAATAATAATTTATTAATTAATGAAATATTATTTAATTTTAAAGCTATACAGTATCTTCTAAATATTATTTTATCATTATTTCATATCAAACTTATTAATATAATAAGGACATCAGACAATAACAATTACTAAGTTTTAAAATATAAATTTCTTTTCAGTGTTTCACTCATAGAAATTTGGGATGGAAAATCTTTGTAACAGATGGTGTCAGTCAGATCAGGTGTATTGCTTCGATAGTTATTTTACTCCAGATATTACTGCGGGTCATCTAGAATTATTTATTTTTATTTTTTTGTTTTTTTTGTTTTACAGTTGAAGTTACTATGTCAAGAGAGCTTTATCATTTTCTAACTTCCAGAAATCAAATTCTTAAATCTGTTATTTTGAAAAAATTTATCAAAATATTTATACAATATCATTTTTTCTTATAAAATTCCAATTGTTATATGAATCTGAACAGAGTCTTCAGTGCCAATGTTTTGTAATTAATGGGCTCCTTCTAATTATTTTTAATTTAATTTTTAAGTGAAATTATTGTTCTAAAGTCCCAGTATTTTTTTTTATGTTTTTAATAGTGAAAGACATTTTTAAAGTTTTTAAAAGAGGAAAAAAATCCTGAAATTAGTATTTTTTTTTAAAGAAACAGATATATAATATGTCATTACTTTTTATTGAAGCGTAGAATTTAATTTCAATTTTAAATGTGTAATTGTTAAATAAGTTTCCCCCTCTATTGTTTTCTATGGAAAGTACTTAAATTTTAATATTGAATTTCCCTTCCAAACAAGAATCTAATATGTCTGATAAGTTAATTAAGTAACAAAATTCATGGAAACCACAGAGGGGTCTCCCGGGGTGATTTATTAAGCCCCAATTTAGATTTATCACATAACTACAGATGGTCAATTGTTACATAAATATGGGACCAAGATGCATTTAATAATTAGTTAAACTACTGTAAAATTAGAACCATTAAATCACACAATGCCCTAATCGTGGAACGTTTTAAAAGGATGAAAGTGACTTAATCCCAATGAATATCTGATAGAAAAAATACAAAATTTATTGTTATCTTTAGACAGAATAAATGTGTGCAATGTTGAAAATCTGGAATATGAATTTATTACGTAAAAAAATAAATAAATGTGCTTGTTTTATAAAATTAATGTATGTTATTCAGTGTCACATGTAAGAAAATGCAATTGTATATATAAATACCATTTTGAGACTGACTTGTAACTTTTACAAGAGAGTTTATATATGTAAATCTTGTTAATTGTAATAGCAAATTGCCAAAATTCCGTCCATTGTACTTGTATTAATTATATCTAACCACATCACATTGTAAACACGAAAATAACACTTACTTCTCTTTCTCTCTATGTAAATAACGAATATTACTAGAATGTTTTTTTAAACTATTATAGATTCATGCCACAACACCAGCTCTAACTTCTGGTTTTTATCGGAAAATTCAGCCTACGAACAAACTAAAAAAAATACACCTAGATTTTAGATAAAACAGTAGAATAAATGGATCATAAAATAGGAAGCATGCTGTGGATATTCTTCAAACGAACTTTTCTTTTAAAGTTTTTTTTTTTTCTTCCCCCTTTCCGACAAGAACGGGATGCTTGTTACAGAACAGCTTATCTAATGAACAAGAACTGGATTACCCGAGTCTGCCCCAGCGAATTTTGAGTAAATGCAGATGCACCGTTTTTCCGCTGCACCCAATGACATGCAAATTACGTTAGTATGCCAACCTGAATTCGCTCTAAGTTTATTTCTTCATTCGTGCACAGTGTTCCAACTGGTTTCTCTAATAATAGATTTGAAGTTTTTCTAGTTTGTTAGGTTTTTTTTTCTTTTCTTTAACCTCCTCATGAATATTTTAAGAATGGAGCCTATACCCAGATGTAATTTTCATTCGTGATCGGATCATTTGTACTTTATTACGTCTTCTGTAATTAATAAACAATGTTGTTATCGTTTCATTTGGTCTTTTTTCTTACAATAGAGACGATTTAAAGAAAGAAAATGCGCGTGAAAATAGTGTAATCGGCGGTATTTTTTTATTTTTTATTTTTTTGTTTAAAGTGAATGTTTATGGCGCCGGGTACGAAGGAAATTTAAATCAGTTCGGATATTTTGGAGGAAACAAGAAAAATTAAAGTATGTTTTGGTGGCGAAGCCATTCATCATTCGGAGGCTAAGGGTGGTTTGTTACATAGATCCTGGCCAGAGCCGTTTTCCTTAGAAAATCCCACTTTTGCAGCCGTAAACAGCCCGACTCTAGCATTTGCTGGCGAATACATCTCTCATGTAAATTCGACGGAGATGATGGAAGACGTGACGTCACATAGCAAACGAGGAAAAATGACCAATGGGATCAAGGGACGTGACACGGGATTCTCGCCGGATATCTGGGCCACATTCCTTACATTTTCCCATGGGTCGAACGGCAATGCCATCTATCCGTCATAGTTTTCTGGGATGCGGGTTTAGTTTCTCTAATTTCCGCGAAGGTGGAGCTAAAATGCACATAAGTGAAGAGGATGGGAGGATGTTTGCCTAAGAGATGCACTTTTATCTAGACCCCATTGAGTGATCTCAACCATCCAGGGACGCTACTTACGGCTTAATACGCCTCGTTATCCCTTGACATCGTTATTCCGAGGGATGCATTCTTATTCTTCCTACGGGAACGCCCCGTTTCCACTCCAAACATTCAAATGGCTTCTTCCAGAATGGCAAAAACATCCGAATATTATCCAACTTATATTATCCTTCACTAAACAAAACTGCTTTCATTTATTTTTTTTTCTCCTTATCGATAAATCCAACAGTAAAGACCATCCATTCTCCTTCGAAAGTCAGATTTATCCGACCGATATATTAAATTTCGGTAAGTTAATTACTATATAAAAACTTTAACTTCTCTTTATTATCTCACTCGACCTGGAATTTTACAAGATAGAAGTCTCCGTGTTCTATAATAATGCATAAGTTCTCGATAGAAGAGGATAGAAACTTTGATATTCCACTTGGAAAAAAAAACGAAGCTATAAAAGTAATGTTTATGTTTTGATTCGACAGGCTTTCTAGACGGACGGAGAAAATTTTAAACTGTAAATCCACCGATAAGAATCGATGTGGAGATGACAATACTCCACCCTTCCCCGATGAAACGTCAGTTTGTATCCACCCAATAATCAATCAATATTTCAAGTATTTTTCCATTTCCTTTTTCATTCAAACTCTATTCTCGTTATATTTTATTCATCATCCAGCTATAATATCCTTTCTTGTTATAGAAATTTTGCATTTTCATTCTATAAACCGCAAGAAAAAACTTCATCCCCGACTCTGTATAATAACACATCTAAAAGAAGGAGTCAACCCTCCCCCCTTTATAAACGATAAATTACGGCTCTAATTTCCAGTTTTTTAAATAGAAATATATCAGAAAATATTCTTTAATCAGTTATAAAACGGAAATATATAATATTTTTCCACTCGGAGAAGAAAAATTCAAGTTAACACGTGGGAAAGATATCATTCGTCTTTTAATAACAAACATATGGAACGAGTTGTCCACTCGTATTATTTGGCTCCCTCGTCACATTAAAATTCAGCAATTGCTCGCGCTCGACAATACATCACCCATGCTAATCAGTATGAAGTTACTAATGACATTGGAGATGACAAAAATTGACTGCAAAACTGATTGGAATATAAAACTGCTCAGAATATTCAGAAATACATTTTTTTTTTCCTTTCCTCTTTCTCTTTTTTAGACACGTAACGCATTTCTAAATTTGAATGACTGCGATCTCGTGACAGACCAATTACTGCATCTGTTTTGTGGCATTTTTTTCGTCTTCCTCCCTCTTGCCTGTTTTTTGTCGACTTGTAACTTTGACGGCATTACGATAAATATGGAAGAAAACATGTCGCTACATCACAATTGTTTACTAACTCTACGCTAAAAGAAAACTTTATAACCGTTTCTCGTCTTGTTTAAAGCCTTAAATTATCATCTTAAACATATCTACGTCATTAAAATCTTCATTAATCTTCGGATTCTGTCGTCGTCATCATCCAGTTTACCGAATTAATTACTTTTTAATCAAACTTTATAAGTATTGAAAGATACAGTAAATCTTATATAAGTTATCGAATGTGGTAACGCTCTATAGAGTGATTCTGACACCCGAATAATCGCGTTAATTCTATTGGGAAAGCGAATTGTAAAGGTTCAACAATAGATACCGAGGTCAACGCATCAATATTCCTCCAAGTAATTAGCATAACTCCAACCGAAATTAACATAAGAATTATAAATTTATAACAAACATTTCGTCGGACTGATAGAAATCCGTGGCGATAAGAGGGAGGATTGTTTAGCACTAACAATAATCCTCTAATTTTAGATATTTCCACGACCGAACGACCGAGTTTATAAGTTTTACTAATATAAACTAGGATTAACCTGTTTATAGTGGGGTTTCGGTAACGAAAACGTCTGTCGAAACGCTCTTTTAAAACAGATAATGGCTGTTTATGGATAAAGAATTCGCATAAGTTATCTCTTCTTGCAATCTGTAACACGATAGGAAAAAAAAGGAAACATTTGAAAAGTAAGCGGATTACTCTGTGAAAACCGTATCAAATATGGCATTTAGGTTATTTACCTTTCATCGGGATCAATTATAAGGAAAGTAAACACGAGAAGAGGACTATAGTATTAATATTAAGTAACGAGACGTTTCTGTGGAACATGTCGAGAGGGAAATGCATCCGATAGATTGATACAGAAGAGGGTCGATGCGTAAGAACGAAAGTATTTCTGGGCATTTGGAAAATCGGAAAATTCGGAGATTGGCATAAGGGAAAAAAGGTGTGGAGGAGGATGCGACGATTATTGTGTAGAAGGCCAATTTGGAATGGGAAATGAAGAGAAGGAAGGAAAAAATTCTCGGACAAGGATGGAACGAAGCCGGGAAGTTACGGCGGATAATGTGTTAGTTGGAACGTGAGTCCAGCTAATTTCCTCTGCATGTCACGCCACTATTTGACGACACCTCTATCTCCTATCCCTCCCTCATCCTCCACACGTTTGACACGTGTGTAATTGGGTTGTCCCGGGCATGCCGAATGCGCGGCAAGTTCAGCTTCCCGTCGGCAGACACTTGGGAATTGGCGGAGAAATAATAACTTAGCTAGTATCGCCTAGTCCTCTCCCTCCCTCGCTCTTGCCTGCTTGCTAAGCAATTTACCTTTCTAGTGGATCCAATTTTCAAAGCGAGAGTCTGACAGTAATTTGTTCTGTGTTTTAATCTCGTTTAGAGAAAGCTCATAAATAATTTAGCTCCCAGTTTCAACGCTCTCGCTGCTCACCCGCTCTCTGCTTCTTCCTCCCCTCCCTACCAACTAAATTTACTCGCTACATAGTCTGCAGCTCCGAAATCAACTCCATCTTCTTCTCCCCTTCAACCTTCCATCCCCGTACGACTTCAGTCCGAGCCCTTGTTCACCAATTATGCAACGGAGAAGGCCTTTTAAAACACCAGA